CGTGCCGAGTACGATGGCAGGCCTCCTGCAAAGTTTTCCATGCTGTGTCTGAGTGGTTGCGAATTCTGAGTAGTCTCCGGCCGGAGCAGCTGAAGACTCGCTCCACAAGTGCTTCAGGCTGCTGGATGCGCAGTCCACATTGGAACCCTCGTCTTCATCCCTGGTGTGCCCTACAGATGCAGCAATTGTGCAATATTGGCCTGACAGTTTTTTGCCAAGTCAGGGCAGAGGCGCAGCGGACACAGGGCAACTTCTTCCTCGTGTGCATAGTCACACTCCTGACATAGGCAGGTGTTCTCCAAGGACTGGAAGTCGCTCAAAGCTTTCTCTCGCAATTAGCCCACGTGTGCGTGCCGCGCGTGCGACGTAAACTCGACAAGTTCGAAACAGATGTTACACGTGTTCCGCCTCCAGGCTTGCACTGCAAGCCTCAGAAAGCGATTTTCAGGTCAAGGCAAGCTCAACAATCCTGCTGTAATTGGCTAACGGCTAGCTAATTACATGAGTTGACAAAGGCACTCTTGACCTTGCACACAGCCACCGATCACTGCAGACCGTGCCGAGTACGATGGCAGGCCTCCTGCAAAGTTTTCCATGCTTTGTCTGAGTGGTTGCGAATTCTGAGCAGTCTCCGGCCGGAGCAGCTGAAGACTCGCTCCACAAGTGCTTCAGGCTGCTGGATGGCGCAGTCCGCATTGGACCCCTCGTCTTCATCCCTGGTGTGCCCTACAGATGCAGCAATTGTGCAATATTGGCCTGACAGTTTTTTTCCAAGTCAGGGCAGAGGCGCAGCGGACACAGGGCAACTTCTTCCTCGTGTGCATAGTCACACTCCTGACATAGGCAGGTGTTCTCCAAGGACTGGAAGTCGCTCAAAGCTTTCTCTCGCAATGAGCCCACGTGTGCGTGGCACGCGTGCGACGTAAACTCGACAAGTTCGAAACAGATGTTACAAGGCGCCCAGTTTCCAGGCTTCAGACTCGCTCCACAAGTGCTTCAGGCTGCTGGATGGCGCAGTCCGCATTGGAACCCTCGTCTTCATCCCTGGCGTGCCTTACAGATGCAGCAATTGTGCAATATTGGCCTGACAGTTTTTTTCCAAGTCAAGGCAGAGGCGCAGCGGACACAAGGCAAGCAGGTGTTATCCAAGGACTGGAAGTCGCTCAAAGCTTTTTCTCGCAATTAGCCCGCGTGCGCGTGCCACGTGTGCGCCGTAAACTCAACAAGTTTGAAACAGATGTTACAAGCGTCCGGCAGTGGGGATAGGGGTGGGCACGTTGAAACTGCAATGTTGTTGGTTCGAACGTCCATTCCATGTCGCAGCTAGCGGACGTGCCACTCGTGCCTATTCAAGACGGCGTAGCCGCCCTATCCATGGCTTCAGTTCCACAAGTGGGCCAGGGGGTGGCGCCATATGTCGAAGCGAAGCCCTGACATGTAGCTACTGGGTGGTTGACGTAAGGCGTCTCGCACAGGCGTGGGTCGCCTTAGGGCGGGCACCCAGTAGCTGCAACGAGGTCTTCCGGCCAGCGCCTCAGCTGCTGGAATGTCTGCCATGCCGCTTTGCAAACTCCCATTTTCTCCGCCTGCAAAGAAATGCTACGTGGGCGCCACGCCCGAGCCAGAAATGGCCAGCGAGGCCTAGCACTGGCTCTCCAGGGCTTGCCAACTGCTTGCTTGGCAAGTGCTTGCCACGTCGAGCTGCTCCAGCGCGAGATCTATCAGTTTATCGAGCTTCTCAGGGCCCCCTGGCACAGCTCCGACCGAAAGCCACATCATATCCCTAAACCCCAGCCCCAAACCCTAAACCTCACCTGGGACCCTTTTTGCCTGCAGCTTCAAGGGTTATGCCTACTCAATGGGGGGTACGTACTAGGACCCCGTAGGTAAAGGGTCCCAGGTAAACCCAAACACAGAGCCAAACCCAACGAAAACGCATCGGCAGCTGTACACCTATAGCACCCCGGGTGAGCACACCTGGGGACCAAGTACACCTCAAAGCTGGACATTGACAGACATGTTCGTAGCAGAGGCCGACGTGCGTGCCTGCCCCAGACGGCAAAGTCCCCAGCTGCTGGCGACAACGACACTCCGTGAGTGGGGTCGTGCATGGCTCAGTGCTTTCACGTCGTTCCTCTTGTGTCAACAGCAAGGCAGAACTTGGTTGCCGTAGCTCGTGACCTGGAGTGCAGTTGCGCAGGCACGTGCCTTGTCACAGGCAGCGACACCTCTTCATCGAAGCTCGAGGAAAATTGTCCTCGCGGGAGGCGAGGACAATGAGCAGTCAATTGGTCTGCTATGTGGGATATCTACCAGGGGCCCACTCTTGGTTCCGAGAGGCGCGCTCTTGCTCCCGGAAAAGAGTTTAACTACATTGAGGGACGGAAGAGTATGGGCTGTGGCATGAATGGAGGGGGGGATCTTCACGCGCAGTGAAAGCTGGGCAACTAGTGGGTAGTAGTTTGTTTTTGGAATTTCAGCGGAGGGCTGGCTTTTCCGTGGAAAACCACCATCTTCTCTATATTTTCATAGGAATCGATACATGTTCGTGGTTTTTCGTACGAAAAACCTTAATTCCCTCTGTATTTTCATAGGATTCCTTCCCTCTGTATTTTCAGAGGAAGTCGTAGTTACTTTTTGTAGGTTTAGACAAGAGAAGAAGAGAGAGAAAGAAAGAAAGAACGAAAGAACGAAATAACGAAATAAATGAAGACAGAAGAAAGAAATAAAGAACGAAAGAAACAAAGAAATATAGAAAGAAAGAAAGACAAAAAGAAGGAAGGACAAAAGGAAAGTAAGAAGAACGAAACAAATGAAGAAAGAACGAACGAAAGAAAGAAAGGCCCCACCTCCAACCAACCCCCTGCTTATTCTGAGCCGTGCAGAAGCGTGCTTCAAAGCATATGAATGTCGTTGAAACCCATCATGTGAGCATGGTGTTTGCACATGGGGCCGGGGGCTGCGCCCCCCCAACCCCCCCAACCCCCCCGCTTTTTTTAGGCCGTGCAAAGCGTGCTTGGATTCTTATGAATCTTGCTGAAACCCATCGTGTGAGCACTGTGGTTGCAAATGGCCACTTCCTTTGAGCCGTGCAAAAGGGTGCTTCAAAGCCTATGAATCTTGTTGAAACTCATCATGTGAGCATGGTGTTTGCAAATGGGGGGGGGGTGCTGCGAACCCCCCAACCCCCCGGCTTGTTTTTGTAAGCCGCGCAAAGCGTGCTTCAGTTCTTATGAATCTTGTTGAAACCTATCGTCTGAGCATTGTGGTTGCATTTGCGGGGGTGCTGCCTCCCCCCCCAACCCCCCCCCCCCCCCCCCCCCCCCAACCCCCCAACCCCCCCGCTTTTTTAGGCCGTGCAAAGCGTGCTTGGATTCTTATGAAATCTTGTTGAACCCATCGTGAGCATTGCGTTTGCAAATGGGGGGGGGGGCTGCCCCAACCCCCGCTTTTTTTTTTGACCGTGCAAAATGTGCTTCAAAGCGTATGCTGTTGTTGAAATCCATCGTCTGAGCATTGTGGTTGCAAAATGGGGCGGGGGGGCTGCGCCCCCCCCCCCCCCCGCCCAACCCCCCACGCTTCTTTTAAGCAGAGCAAAACATGCTTCAAAGCCTAAGAAACTTGTTGAAGCCCATCATGTGAGCATTGTGTGCAAATGGGGGTGCCTGTGGCCCCCCCCAACCCCCCCGCTTCATTCAAACCGTGCAAAGCGCGTGAGTCCCATCCTTAGATAAAAAGACATCCTACGAAGAAGACAGAGGGAATGAATGTAGCTTTTTCCTAGGAAAAACCCAGAAAACAAACCAAAAAACAAAAATAATAAGAAATCCTACGTAAAGTAGTATGAATCCTTTGAAAATATGGACGGAATGTAGCTTTTTCCCGCGCAAAACCAAGAAAACGAACCCAAAACAAAACATTAATAAGAACTCCTACGAAAAGTAGTTTGAAATCTATGAAAATATTGAGGGAATCTAGCTTTTCCTAGGAAAAACCAAGAGAACGGCAGAAAACGAACCCCAAAAACAGAGTTAACAGGAAATCCTACGAAATATAGTATGAATCATAGGAAGATATATGGACGTAGCTTTTCCTTAGGAAAACCCAGAAAACGACCTCTCCCCCCCCCAAAAAAAGACAAAAACACAAAAAACTACCGCAACAAAGACTCCACCCAATTTCTTCTTATAAGCCCTGCTTATATACTTACCCATGAACCTTCGAGACTATAGAGCCAGGCAGAGTCACTACCAGCAGTGAGGCTTAGCTGGATCATGGGTTGCTTTCATTTCTCCAGACCATCGATTTTTCAAAGTCCGACTTGTGTAGCTTGAGGTAGAAGTTCACAAACATGATTACACAAGTTTGCATGTGGTTCTCGGTAGAGTTGTCACGGACAACCCAAACGAATGTGTGAATGAAAGAGGTAGGAGTTTAAGCCTTTATCAGTCCATGTCAAGAGAGTTGCATTCCAGAAGCATCGAGCCAGCATGGCGTTCAACAGTGGGTTTGCAGCCAGGCCGGGACTTGACAGCGCCGCCGCGGAAAGTTGCAATTGGCAATAGAGTGACTCTAGTGAGAATTGTGTCCATGGTTGCAGGACCGATGTGCAGGACAACCTTTCGACGATGCCTGAGCTCTCCTGGCTTCCTCTTCGCTTCGTTTTCCCAGTCCTGTCCTGTATGGGGCGCGACCGAGGCACCCGCTGAGGCCGGGTTTTGACGGCTTTTGAGTACAAGCGTGTGGTGTGCCATGATTGTGCCATGTGTCCCTGTATGATCTGTATGGCGGTGCTTTCATGCCTTGCACGTTGTCTGGGCCATCTGACCATCGATGTGCGAATCGCAAGACAGCTGTATGTTGATGGTGCGACTTCCGTCTTGATAGTCTCACACGGAGACCCGGACAACCCTGAAGTTACAATCAGGGTATGTGTGGTATGCAAGGCCAAGGTAACGTCATCTGGCAGCACATGCACAGTCACATAGTGACATGAGCCCATGGTGTCCATGGTGTCGGCCCTCTGCTGCATTTTTCACGGCGGTCCTGCTCTTGCGACGCTTGGTACGGTTTGCGCGATCATTTTTTCCTGGCGCGGTTGCACATTGGCTGTCCACTTGCGACCAGACGAGGCACCGGGGCAAGCCCGCATGAAGCGCCTGAGATGATTTGGCCGTGCCAATTTCTGACACCACATGCAGTTGGCAGTGATGACGCAGTCATGATCCCTGAAACACAAATATCAGAGAGAAGAGTCAACTGATGCGAGGATTTCCAATCGCGCGTGGTGATTCAGAAGGTGTCCCAGGCATACAGCAGTTCCGAGCACCACGAGAGGAAACTTGGCACCAACTCCTAGCAGGTCCTAGCACTTAATTTTTGCTTACCACCGTTTTCAGTTTGTAACATCGCCACAGCGACTTTGCAGCAGGAGGCTTCAAGATGCTTCCACGTGCGAGGAGGTTCATGCAGCTCCTTATGCTCCAATGAAGACTTCCGAGTTGAAGTAGCCGCAGCGGGGGTTCATTCCACTCCAACTCCACTCTCCACTCCTCCACTCTCAAGGCTGGCTCCTGGGGTCAGATGAGGACGTGTCTTGTGCGTGATTGTGCTACTGGGTGAGGCATGAATGCGAACTAGCCAACTCTTCAAGCTTGTGTTGCCAGTTGCAAGTATAGACGAATGCGGTCTCGCACATTGCACAAGCTTGTGGCAACAGGATTGGGTATGAGATGGTGGATGTTGATGCCGTTGCACCACACCTGGTAGAGTTGGTCAATGAGACTGTCATGGTAACTTGGCGTCCCAGTTCATGCGTACGTCCTGCCGTAGTCTGAGGCGTTCACCTTGCCTGTTGGGTTGGGGTTGCTTCAGGCACGTGCAGTGGCCTACTGGTCGTCGGTGCTGCAGGTCCGCCAGGCTCGCCGGGCTTTTCAACAACCGTTCTTTCGGGGGTCTTTGTGGTAGCCTGTGTCTTTTTCATCTCCCACAGTCCATGTCGCCCAACTTGGGTGGTAGAGATTCACGTTCGATTTTTACATGATTCTTGCAAACATGGGTGATGCTCACGAGCTGTCTCCGAAGGCCCAGAAGCCATTGAAAATGGACCGACTTGGCACTGGCTGCTTCAAGTATGCCTCTGGGGGCTTCAATACTAGAAGTCCTTTTTGTTGTCTGTAGAGGCTGCAATTGTGACTCAAACGCACGCCCCCAAAAAGCCCGGATCTGTGTCGAGGGCTTTGACACCGACTGGCGCTGCAGTGGTATGCAGACTCCAACCTGTGGCTCCCTGGTTGTTCCTGACAAGTACCTGCGCGCTCGCCGGGCCTGTCAGGAAGTTTGCGAGCCTTGGAGATGTGCAGATTTTTGCTATCGTGGCATAGATGGGTTGCATCATGTGAAGCACCACGTATGTCTTTGGCATCATGGCTTCTTTCTCTGGTTGCCCCGAAGATTGACTCTTTTGAGCGTAAGGGGCCACGCTGCACTGGGAGCTGTGTGCAAGGACGCCGGCTCTTGCTGTCTCAATGAAGTATGGTACGATGTGGTGTGTAAGCTTCCGGTCCATGCTCGCGGCTTCAGGAGACAGCTGTGCTTGTGACGTTGCCGAATGGCTGGTGCAACAAGACAGCTACTGCTGCTTCTTGACTCCCCAAGCTGGGTGTCCCAGCGATTGCTCACTTGCAAATGCGACACAGGTGGGCAATGGCACTGGTGGTGGCTTTGTTTGTGAGGGCATGTGCGTTGATGCGCCAGAGGGTGAAGGAGCTGTTGGTGAAGATCTCCATGTCTTCGTGAAGATCGAAGATTCAGTGGAGTGCCAGGCTTCGGACACACTGCTGGCTTATGCAATTTCCTGTGGCGTTGACCAATGCGATCGTCCTGTGTTTGGAGCCATCAATTTCTGTCCAACACAGCTGTCTACATCACCGGATGAGCTTGGCGGAATAATCTCCACGGCTGTACATGAACTGGCTCATGTCTTAGTCTTCAGCAACGAGCATTTTCGGAACTTCAGGAATTCAGATGGGACCCCAGTGATTCCCAGGGACACGGCCGAGCCACGGCTGTACCAAGATGAAGTTCGGTACTCGTGCAATGAGAACGCGTATGCCTGGAATGTTACCAGCGGCAACAGGAGGCGGGGGACGACAGCAAGACATGTTCCAAATCTTTCCGACTTTCGGGAAGCCCTATCCCAATCAGTTCGTGTTACATCATGTATCGGCAGCGATGTGAGACGAACGGCAGTGTAAAGTCCCTCAGCAGAAGCCCGCGAAACTCCACGGGAAGTGCGGTGCCCCCAAGTCAACACATGCTGTCCTCAGGGGTTTAGGCACTCAAGGGACTTTGGAATTCAGATTGATGGGATTTATGGGGTTGAATCATGAAAGGGATCGCAGGGATGGAAGAGATGCAAGGAATTGAAGGGAACGGGGTCTAGTTCTGATGAATCCAAACCCTGGTTTCGGGAAACCTCGGGCGGCATCAGCTGGGTGCTGTGATCATGCAGTATGATGCTGATGCCTTGTAGATCTCCTGTAGAACAGTCTCCGCGTCAGAGCTCGGTTTCTCGCAAGCCCGTAGGACCTACGCCGCCCTGTTTTGTTTCATCCTTCAAGTGGAGGGGTTCAAGCCCTCCTCCCCCTCGAGGTATGTGGACCTCAGCCCAGACATCCTGGACTCCTTCAGCGAGCGGGGTTACAACTGCCAATGCCCCATCGGCACACCGACCCTGAATCCAGGACCAGCTGACGTGCGTGTTCGAAAGAAAGTCTAGGGTTTAGGGTTTAGGGTTTAGGGTTTAGGGTTTAGGGTTTAGGGTTTAGGGCTAAATCGTACCTCTCCCACACGTTCTTTCTGGTTTGCTTCTGCTCCCTCTTATTGCGGCCCCAGGATGCTTCTACCCCGCTGGACCGCCCTTCCTGCAGGTGCCGAGCTGCGCGGTGCGAATGAAGATGGCTTACTTGATTCCGTAGATGTCCGTAGCGTGTTCCGTTGTTTTTTTGGTTTTGTTAAATGCAGGCGGAGGCTGAGCTCCGCCGGGAAGCGGAGAAGCGGGAAGAGGGGCAGTAAGAGGAGCAGCGGGGAAGGAATCCCGGCCAAGCAGGGGATGCGGAGCGGGAGGACCTCAAGGTTGTGCATGAAAAAGTGCAAAAACCCCCAAACATTCCGTGTGGGGCTTCGTCGACACCTTTTTGTTTCAGTGAGCCCCAAGCAGCAGGTGAGACTGTTCGCTGTTCGCGCTCTCAGTGCAAGCGTTTGAGATGAGGCTCAGGGGGCACCGGCTGGGACACATTCTGAGAACAAAAGGGCTTTCCAACTAAGGGGCGCCCGAGATCCCTAAGCCAACTAGGACTTCTTGAAGCCCGGTGCTATGCGATTGCTTGAACCGTTCGAGGAGGCCGACACAACTTGAGAAAATGAAGAAACTTGCAGCCGCTTTGTGGGCTGGAAAGCGGCTACTGAAATGTGTGAGGGGCCGTCAGGGCGGTAGAGCCTGCTGCTTGTAATTATGAGCCATGGCCCGGGCATGCGACAGAAGAAAGTTTTTGCAATCAGTGCACAAACCAATCACCTACTTACAGAAATATAGAACATGTAGGCGTTTCCCGATTTGGGGGCGAACGAAGGCTGCGTGGTGAGAATGAAGACGCCCACGGTCCTCCGTGAGGTGGGAAGGGGCGCCCCTAGCTTTGCCCGGGTCCCCCCGCGGCTTCTTCTGTTATCTCCTTTAAACCCTAAACCCTGAACCCTGAACCCTAAACCCCAAACCCCAAACCCCAAACCCTAAACCCCAAACCCCAAACCCCAAACCCAAAACCCTGATCCCTAAACCCTAAACCCTAAGCTCATCTCTTGGCACTTTCATGCGCCGCTGTCTCTTTGCCCGAAGGTCAGGGATTTCTTTGACTGTCCAACGCTGGGTGGCGCGGAGCTCGAGAATCAAGAAGGCGCACGGTTCATCGGACGTTCTCATGTGAAATGCGTGTGACTCTTCTTGTGGGAGAGAGATTGTGAGACACAAGTGGTGTGAACAGGCAATGGTTGCAGCATCATAAGCAGCCACTGGGAGCAGAGAGTCTTCGCTTCCGAGCTCATGGCACCAGCATCTTCCGAGCACTTGATTGACACCTACGTCTCGCGCGTGAGCCTCTCCGCTTTTTACAGGGACGCGAAAAGGTGCAGAAAAGGGCTTCTTCCGAGTTCCCAACGAAAAAGCCGTTTCAACATGAGGTCAGGGCGTCCCTGGAAGGCATCCCTGGAAGGCATAGAGAGGTACCGATAGCGATGCCTTTCAGCCGAATAAGAAAAGCGAAGTAGCAGCTCCTTGCAGAGCCCTATGTGTGGAGAGGGGGGCAGTGTTGGGTGATGTGCAGTGAAGGTTCCTTGTGTTGTTGTTGTTGTTGTTGTTGTTGTTGTTGTTGTTGTTGTTGTTGTTGTTGTTGTTGTTGTTGTTGTTGTTGTTGTTGTTGTTGTTGTTGTTGTTGTTGTTGTTGTTGTTGTTGTTGTTGTTGTTGTTGTTGTTGTGTTTGTTGTTGTTGTTGTTGTTGTTGTTGTTGTTGTTGTTGTTGTTGTTGTTGTTGTTGTTGTTGTTGTTGTTGTTGTTGTTGTTGTTGTTGTTGTTGTTGTTGTTGTTGTTGTTGTTGTTGTTGTTGTTGTAAGAACTGGTAGTTCAACTACACAGTGAGACCTCCTACAACATGGGCACAAGTGGACTAGAGATTCAAGTTCCCACTTCTTCAGGAATCAAACAAGGTTGCAAGCTAGCCCCGGCATTGTGGTCTGCGCTGACACTTCTAGAATGGAGCAGAAATGGGGCCCAGATAGCAAGCAAGCTAGGGACATCCTAACAGTCTTTGCAGACGATTTCCTGCTCCAGGAAACCTTCTCGAGCTTTCCTGAACTTCAGAAAGTCCTGCTCAGAATAGAGGCTCTCTTTCAGTCTCTTGAGGACGTGGGGCTGGAAGTCAATCCAACGAAGTCCAAAGCCTTGCTAATGGTTCAGGGCACTCAGCAGTCCATCTTTCGCAAGAAGCACACGATGCGCAAAGAGAAGCAGTTGCACATCGTCCTTCCCTCAGGACATAAGATTCCGATACATCACAAACTAACATATCTAGGGGTGCAGCTTAGCTATGGATCCTACAAAGACCAGACTGTTGACTATAGGATCGCCCAAGCTCAAGGCAAGTTTGAGCTACTTCGACACATCCTGTGCTCCACTAAGGCCTTGGAGGCTTCAAAGAAGTTAGAGATCTGGAAGGTCTATGTGGAATCCTCACTCTTGCATGGGCTTGTGGCCAC